AGACTAGACAATAGCTACTTAATATGCACACACTCGCCACCAACTGGACAGGGGTGTGAATTACTAAATAATAGTTAAAGTAGAGTACAGTAGATCGCCCTCAGTCGACCTGGCCATAAGGATGTAATATAATGTGGGCCGCTGGTGGACATTTTGGCGCTGTTCCGAGTTGTGTTCTAATCTGTCAAAATGACGGACTGCTTTCAGATATTTCCGTCATTCTTGGAAAAATTACGTCATAGACGGAAAATATTCGGTTAACGCGACCTCTGGAGTGGGCTGTCCTTTGATAAAAAGGTCTTGATGACAAGCTGTGGAAAGAAGCTCCGATCGTGACAGCGCGTCCCCTGAGGCAGCCGGACGTCTGCTCGTTGCTAAACATTTTACCGTTAGATAGGTTTGAAGCGACATACATTTCTGCGTAATGCCTGTTGAATTGACATTAAATCCAATCTTACACTCGTTCTTGGGGAATGAGGAAGTGGCACTGGTGTCTTTGAGGCTGCTTCCATCCAGTACCTGGTTTGGGTTATTAATCCCATGAAGTTGTTGTGGCAGGTTATCGGATCCATCTGGCACAGTGGTGAATTGGCTATGGGTGGTTACATTTCCGTTCCCATTCTCTAACACAGAAACCATAGACGCTGTTGTCCACCTCAAGGGGGATGCAGATGAGGCAACTTTAGAGGAGAGAGGTTTGGCTGGATCGTTTCTCCTGGAGAGCTCTAGGGAAGTCTGATTAAAAGGCACTTTAGTGGCCACACCTGTCTTGGCATGTGTTCTGACAGAGTTTGTAGAGGTGGGTCTATCGGCAGTGGAGCAAGCCCGAAGCTTTGCCCCACCCCATGGGGAGGACTGGTTGGTGGGCATGGCACAATTCAACAAAGATCTAGTTATTTCCAAAGGGCTAGATAAATAGAATAACAGTCGCAACGATAACAAAGCCTAAGATGAAGGGAGGGTCCTCTTGGTAACTCCTCCTGATTGGCTCTTCTGTTGGAGTGACTTTTGAGATGTCAGCTCCAGTGGAATGGAGTTGTTAAATATCTGTTGTTCACCGTAGATTGAAAAAAAGTTCTTGATAAATCCTCCCCAACAGTAAACATACCTGCAGTCACAGAAGCAGTGATAGCAGCACAAAACGTGGGCCCAGCAGCTGTGGTTCAGGTCAGCAGGACAACTCTTCGTAGCGATGCAGGGTTATAAGCCTTCATGTGAGGAGGACAAGCAGGCACATAAGGCTTTCCTCCAGAGGCAAAGCGGTTCCCACTCTAATTAAACAGTGACACTAAGCGTTTGATATATAAAGAGGACAAATCAAGGAGTCTTGAGGACATTGCTGGTGCAGACTGAGCCAGAACCAGTTTCAACTCCTTTTTCTCAACAACGCTAGTGATGAAACGTAAACTTCAGGCGGCCTAAGACTGAATACTTGGCATACTCCAACAAGGTGTCAGGTCTTGGAAGAGAGAGTGGTATCCTTGGAGCTCTCATTTATTCCTCAGTTGATTCACAGGAGGCAATAAACCACTGGAAGTACAAACAAGAGGAGCAGTCAGTTTAGTCCTATTGTGATACATTACCATAATCAGAAGACATCATGTTAATGTTCATCATTCGTATGGAAAAAAAAGGCAATAAAAACATCTTCAAGACACCAATGTTGAATCTGTTATTCCTTCACCAGCTGTTTAAAACATATTTTCTCAATATGTTATATTAAATAGATAGAACAAGAATGTCAATGTATTTCAACAAGGAATAATTCAACCACTACTGAAGCCAGTCAAAACATATGCATAAAAACAGAGTATAACATTCATTTAAAATGTCCTTAGTCAAAGTATTCTTTTTAAATAATAGCTACCAGGTTAAACTACACTGAACGTGTTGGTGTTTTGAAGATAAGTCCTGCGGTCAATTCAAAAGCACTTGTGTGTTAAAAACTAAAAAAGTGATTTACAGGCCCAGCAGGTGTCCAAAGTTATAATGAGTAACATTAAGAAGATGCCCAACCATTGAAATCACAGCTATGTGAGCTAGCTAGGCGAGTTAGCTAGCCCATATCACTAAAGCAAGACATTCTACTGACAATATGATTACAGATGCTACCAGCAGTTTGCCATATTTCTTTAATAATGTTTTATCATGTCTCTTAACAGCAACCAGCGTGCTGTGTGCTGAAAACACTGCTGTCATCTCCTGGAAAGCTGAGTCTCACGTGTGTGTGCTTCCAGGACACGCCGCTTCATGCTTCGCTTTACATTAGGCAACGAGCAAACAAACTAACTTACAAGTCTTCTGTGATTATATTAAAACAATAAAGTAAGCAGAGGCAAGACTTACTTTAACACCAGGTTTCCATGACAACAATACACTTTTTATTGCACTGTAAAATGCCGGCTAATGATGCTAGTTTGTGTCCGTTTCTTAGCTTAGCAACAACGGCCAACACAACACTAACTGTCATTGGTTGTTTGAAAGCCTCCATCCACAGTCAATAATACTAACGTTAAAACACAGCGTTGCTATCAATTTATGATTATATATCCATACCTACTTCGTCCTTGTAGTGTCCCTAACATGTTGTTCCGCTGGTGTTTAGGGAGCTACCCGTCAGAAGCTGTTACATTGCAGTGGTGAGCTGAAAAGTGCGAGTGAAACATCATGGCCGAAGATCGTCTAATGAGAGAAGAGAGCCACTCCTGGTTCAGAATCAGAGGTCCCTCCACTCACTGCACATGTCAATGTTAATGTCTTCAAAGATCCTTAAACATGAAATATGTTCTTGCAATTTAAAACATTTTTTTTAATAGTTATTATTTTAAATAGAAATGTTAGGCTGAACCCCTTGAGATGCACATTTCGTTTTCAAGGGGGTCTCCACCAGTGTTGTGTAAGTGGCCTAGTGTGACCATTGAAGAGGTTTTGAAGACCATTCAAGACCATTTGAAGACCATTCAAGACCATTGAAGAGGTTTTCATCCCTCCAATTCTATATTCCATATTCTATTCTACATAAATGTTGTCCCCACCACTTTTTAAAAGTATAACTTATAATATAAATGTTCTGAAAAATAGCGTGCACAAGAAATGTAATAAAGAAAAACACTGGCTCGTTGTGTGCATAAAGGTACAAATTCACTCCAAATCACATCACAGCAAGACCTATAGTTGGGCGCTCATTATATTAAAAACACATTGGTGGTCCTGAGGTCTATGCATTGGTTTTCAAGCAGGTGCTCAAGGTTCATCACCCAGAGGAGGGACATCTTTTGTATTCTATGCTGATGTTAAATCTGGAAAAATTGTCCCCACTACTTTTTCTAACAAAGTGACGCCCATGTACAAAAGTATTCTAAAGAAAAATAGGACATACATGTAATTTATATTTGAAGCTACTTCAACACAATAAAAGTTTTCATGTGATGTGATTTAGAGTGCTATGGAATTTGCCCTGGCTTTACATGTAAATTGATATTTCAATTTCTATATCAAAATGTAACTTTGGTTATAGTTAAACAAAAACGATGTAATCCTTGAGAGTTGAATACATATCCGGCTATCTTTGTAACAAAGACTTGGAGCGCTTCTTAGGAAACAATGTAACAATCAAACAATGCTTAGATCTCAATTTCTAGTTTCAGCACTACTCAGTGTCTTTTCAGTCAGTAGTTCAACACAACACATTATTTTTCTTGAATTAAACTGAGTATATCTTTCGAGGCAACACTTTGTGTAATTGGTTGTGATGTTGGTTGGTTGTCAGCTTCAGGGTTGACTCTTATTTCACCACTAGATGGCTCATTAGAGGGAAGACCTGTAAAACAAACCTCTGTCCTCTCCTCCCTTCTTGCGCCTCTGAATGCCCTGTTTCTCCTCTTTTATTCTGACCCATTTTATATTGTATCCACTCTATTTTTGCTTCTCTCTCATCTATTCCTTTCACAATATTTCTTACATATATCTTCCTCCACTCTTTCCAACTACTATCTCTCCTTTTACCTTCCCTCTTATTCTCACTTGCTTCTAGTTGTCTTTCCTATTTTTTCGCCCATCCCTTTCTTTTCCTCTCCTCCCATCTTTCTAATTTCATCCCCCCTTTCTATTCTTCTCATATCCCTACAGTTTCCTCTCCTTTCCTTATGTCCTTTCTTTCATCCTTTTCCCCATCCTAACTTTTACTCTCCTCTTCACTTGCCTGTTCTGCTCTCTTTTTCTTCCCTGTTTCCTTCCTTCCTCTACGACCCCTACTCGTTTGAATCCATCTCACCTTACTATAATTTCCTGCTCTCTCCTTCTCTCTAAACTCCCTCCTTCATCAAGTCTTGTTTTTGTTCTTCACTGTTCCTAATACTTTCCCCTCCTCATCTCGTCATGTATTCTTTTACCACCCTTTCTTCCTCCACTCTTTTCCTCTCGCTGCCGATCATCCATTCTTCTAAAGCTTTTCCTCTTTCTGGACTCTTCTCTTCATATCCGCCTTTCCATCTGGCATGTCAGATCTTGCAGACAGAGGAAGAGAGAGAGACTGTGTGTGTGTGTGTGTGTGTGTGTGTGTGTGTGTGTGTGTGTGTGTGTGTGTGTGTGTGTGTGTGTGTTTGTGTGTGTGTGAGAGAGTGTGTGTGTGTGTGTGTGTGTGTGTGTGTGTGTGTGTGTGTGTGTGTGTGTGTGAGAGAGAGAGAGAGAGTGTGTGTGTGTGTGTCTGTGAGAGAGAGAGAGAGTGTGTGTGTCTGTGAGTGAGAGAGAGAGTGTGTGTGTGTGTGTGTGTGTGTGTGTGTGTGTGTGTGTGTGTGTGTGTCTGTGAGAGAGAGTGTGTGTCTGTGAGTGTGAGAGAGAGAGTGTGTGTGTGTGTGTGTGTGTGTGTGTGTGTGTGTGTGTGTGCGTGTGTGTGTGTGTGTGTGTGTGTGTGTGTGAGAGAGAGAGAGAGAGAGAGTGTGTGAGAGGGAGAGAGAGACACACACACACAGATAAAGAGAGTGAGCAGACTGAAGCTGAGCAGTGTGCGGGTTGAGCAGCACGATCACTTCTGTCCTCAGAGCTCAGGACGACCCAGTCTCAAGTGTCACTGAGAGGAGCAGAGTCTGCAGCTGGTTGTCCAAAGAGAAACAAGATTAAGACACAGGATCTTCTTTCAGACTTCAGGATGATCTATCACCTTTCAAATCAACACAGAGACTAAAGCTGTTTCGGCTCGGTTAAATCAACCATTCTCCCGAAAGAGGACTGAAGAAGAAAAAGAAGAGAAGGCGGAAAAGTCATTCTATCGACAAAAGACCATCAAAGAGGGTCTAAAGTGGCGCCTTGGGGGACTATTGGATGTATTGTCCCGTCTGAAACCCAGAAGAAAAGAGGAATACAGAAAAAGTGATACGAGAAAAGAAGCAAAATGGTACCATTGTAAGAACAACCAGAAGAGGATGTTGATGTCTGTTGCATCCACTGATTCGCAAAGAGGAGAAGAAAACAACATTGAAAGAAACATGGAGAGAAGAAGACAATAAGGATAGCTTTTTGACCAAATCCAAGTGGTGGAATAAAGTAGATAAGAGACAGACAGAAGAAGTTTTTCTACCAACCGATTGATCAAAGACCTTGTAGACCAGCATTTGTGTCATTCTCTAAAGTTCGGATAACAACGAGGAACATCAGCTTGTTAAGAATTAGGGAAGATAATTAATTTTTACATCAAAGTTTGAGATTTTTATTAAATATTGTGAAAGAAAAAGGTCTTAATTTGCAGTTTGCTGACGACAGAGAAGTAAAAGGACCAAACATAACAGTCAAAGGAAGCGAGGAGTGAGGAGTCCAAACTAAAGGAATTAAACAGAGGAATAAAGAGAAAAGAGTACAGAGACAAAAAGGAATAATCAAGGCACAGGGATGAACCAAGAAGAGAGGGAAGAGTAAAGAGCCCAACAAGGACACATTAAAGTAATAGGGGGGACTGGAAAACAAAAGTCCTGGAAAAGGACAAAAAAGGTTTATAGAGGAAAATCAAGAATAGCGACTGAGAAGGACCAGGTGTGACGATGAGGCTGCCTGTGCTTCTTGCAGCTTCTCTCTCCGTCCTCTACATTGCAGCCGTGGCCCCGGCAGAAAGCTTGGCCCCGGGCCGGCTGGAGCGCTGGGTCCGATCGGGCCTCCAGTCGCTGCAGTGGGACCAGCTGGAGCGATGCCTCCGCATGTCCTCCCTCACTGAGGCCGAGTGCAGGCGCATGGCCCACCTCCCAATGTCCTCTGTGGCCGTTTACGTATCGGAGCCTCGCTCTGCTGCAGGTAAGAAGAGCAACAACGTTTTTTTTTAATGCTGAGTGAGGGTTTAATAGGAGATAAAATACAGGTTACAAACAGTTGATGTAGATTTTTAAGTGATAACAAAAAGTCAAGATGTGAAGAAAATCCATGGTATTGGACCGTTAAAAATGGTTAGTTTAAAATATTGTATTGATACATGGATAACCAACATCAAAGTTCATGTTAACAATGCCCAATTGGAGAGAACACTAACAAGAGAGTGAATGAGACATCATGTGCAAAAATGAACTGTTTTAATGGATGTAATATAACATTTGACAAATTAACTTAATTGAAAAGTAAATATTACAAGTAAAATGAAAAATGTGTGCAACATATACTGTTAACATAAAAATTGCTCTGTTATCCTTCTATATCATATAACTTTAGAATTACCATAATTTGTTTTGTAACTTATGCAAAAGGCTACAGGTTTGCTTTGAAGATGTAAACACTAAAATTGAGCATAATATGTCCTCTTTAATGTTCTATCTCTTTCAAATGCAGCATTAGCTTTGTATAGTTGACTCTCCTAGTAACAATCTATTTTTTATCAAAACCCTCCAGGTAACTCGGACAAAGTTCTTGCCATCCTGCCGGACTCCTCAGGTGGCTCGATGAGCTACAAGCCCCGGGGAGGATTCAGTGTCAGCCAGGCTCTGAATGGACGGGAAGGAACCCACAGGCGACAGCAGCTTTTCCCTGGCTCCACAGCCCATGATGCCGTGCTGGTGCTGGATCCAAGCCCAGGGGAGAACTTTGGACACCCAGTGGTCCTCTTCTACGTGGATGTAAATGTGACGAAGAAGAGATGCTCCCACCTGGATGGAATTTACCTGGGTGAGTCTTTTGTACACATAAAGAAATACAGTGGTTAGCCGTTGTTAACTTTGTTTAAATCATCCATTACTTGCAAGTTAATTTCTTTGTTAGTCAATAGTTTTTTTCCGCATATTGCATTTACAAAGATTACAATGCTTACAAATAGTTTTCTGGTATAAATCTTCAAGACCTGTCAGATGCAAGGGAAGCTTTGAACCTGTAGCATTCATAATTCTAGTAATAGCCTAGTCGCAGTGATAGTAATGAAAGCAGTGGTTTTGTTCTATTGATGATGGTAATAGCAGATAAAGCTCATAAGCAAAAGTATTAGTAATTATAATCACTAACGGGGTGCCGCAGGGATCTATTCTTGGTCCCATTACAATTTATATTATTCATAAAAAAACGATTAAACTATATTTTGTTCAGATGATACAATTTAATATGTCACAACCTAAGCTCTAATTCTGTCATCAGTGAGTTGTTATTATTAGTAGCATTAGTCTTTCAATGTGACTTAGTTTTTCAATTTGAATCCATGCACCAAATGTGCACGTACCTCTGAGCGTATTTAGGGTACGGCGTGTAAAGTTCTGCCATTAACTGAAGCAGAAGAGAAAGTTACATTTGGATGTGCATGGTCTAACCCTCTGAAAGCTCCATTTATAGCTCATTGTGTGATGCAGGATACTTTTCTGCAGCTTCAGCACTTTTAACCCACAACAACACCATTCACCACTTCATGCTCTGATTTAGGACTTACAACATGAAGATATCATGAGGTTTAACATTTGGTTAAGATTAAAGGATAATTCATAGCTTTTGTTTAGCTATAAAATGACGCAAAAGGGAATCGCCAGAAATAATAATCAAATTGTATTAAATGTTCGTCTGAAAGCTTCTCCGACTCATCACTTAATATGGGGGTAAATCCATATTCCATGCCCTATATATTTTTTAATATTGTCATATATAATTTTTAGTCTTAATACATCTATGTATTGGGGAAAACAAAGATGTTCTGAATGATCACAGAGAATTTCAGGAGGAGTTGGGCAGATGTTCCATGACACTTGGAGTATTTTGGACATATTTTTAAAACATCAACGTCTTAAAAAGATCCACTATTGGTGGCGGTAAACAACTGCATTACGGTGGATAAAAGGCCGAAGTGAGAGTAAAAGCAGTAAAAGAAGTGTAGAAATAGGGCACAGGGACATGTATTCTGTAATGGTCCTTTCAATTCCTGTGAAAGTAACATGCTTGAGAGTGCAAGTTGTTGACCCCCGCTGTGAGATAGGTTAGGGCCAGATGTTGAGGTAAATTTGGCCCGGTTTTATATGACCACACACCTGTCAATTATTCATACACATACACACACAGCACTGGGCCCCCTGATGGGCCCTGTAGATGGTTTTGGACCAAAGTCTTTTAGAGCGAAACTTAATGTAGACCCCATTTAACCTGGTGGTGACAGTAAGAAAGAGAAAAAAAGGGAAGGGTGAAAAAATAGTTTTGGGAAGCACACGATGAAAAGAGAACATGGTGGATGACGTAAAAGAAAATTGAGCTGCATTTTGAGCGGTTGCAAATATACAAAGGTTCAATCTCTCTTTGAAACATTACTATTGTGTTTTTATGTTATGAACACAATTAGGCATAGTCGCAGATTTATGCCTCATCCGATCTGCATGCAAGGATAAGCCTTCTGCAATAACCCTAGCCTATGACTAGTATAGGAAAAAGGAGTAAAATGCATACGCCAGCACCATAGGAAATTAATAGAGGCAACCCACAAACATCAGAGGGAAGATAAAAAGTTTAACGATACCATTAAAATGCAGAGAAAGTAATAATACCGTAAATACTACTTAAATTGTTTAGTAAGAAGGCTCATGGTCACATAAAGTATTGGCCAGGTGCACAATCTAACACATCTGAAACTGCTTTTGCACATTTAAAGAATGCAACATAATAGGCCTATTAAGAAGCCAAACAAGTTATAATAGACTAATCTAATATAGTTACACACGCAAAGAAAGTACACATGCAAATGCAACAGAAACAGTAAACCATCAACACATAGACCCACACAGCTTCTAAATATTTAAAATTCGCTGTAGGTGTAGTTAGTATACACAGTATGTACGTAGGTTCTCAACGCTCTCCTATCCATTTTTTGGAAAACAATCAGCACCTTTAAGTGTGTGATCAGGACAGTTAAGAATCAGTTTAGCTTTACATACATAGATATGCTTACACCTGTAACAAACATTTGATTCGTAAGGTTTGATTACGATCTCACTTTTACAAATACAATTCAACATTTTTTTGTTAAGAAGGGGAGGCCAAGCTGACCATTGCAGCCCACTGATCTTATTTCCAAATGCTGGAGAATATGTTGACTCATCTTGTGTTCTTTCACTCTCTGTGTCTTCAGGTGAGGAGTGTTTGACTCTGGCTTTGAAGGGTCGCTGTCAGAACCAGCTGAAGCGTCGGCAAGCAGGACCAGAGAGGTTCATGGGTAACGGACATGGCCGGCTGGCAGGTGGTGCAATGCGTGGTAGTACAATTACTACTAGTGGGGGAAGGCTCTGTGAAGTCCACTTCCTCCCACTGGTTGTCGGAGTTGGAGACAGCAACCGAACGCAGAGACTCAGATGTGTTGGTAAGTTTTAAATCATTCCTTTTTTTCAGGGTTCAGCAGGTCCGAATAAAATCCAGCCAACTCCTTTAAGTAAAGATATAGGAAGTTATACTTCTCTTATTTCATTCAAGGAGTTTCCCTAAACCAGGCTAAGTTCATCCTGGGTCTCTACCCAGATGTGGGACCAATTCATTGTTTTAGCAAGTCACCACTAGCTAAGTCTTTGCAAGTCAAATCCCAGGTCAAGACAGTTAAGTAACTAATCAAATTGCTGGAGACCTTTGATATCAGTGCCAATGTCATGGCAATCCACCTAATATTGTGAAATAAGTGACCGAATATTTGTTTGAAATATGTCAGTAAGCTTATTTTGTATTGAATTTGAGATTTGAAGAAAACATACACTTGGTCAGGGGCGGACTGGGACTAAAAATCAGCCCGGGAAACTCGACCGTCCGACCGGCCCACTTCGGTACCGGCCCACCGGGAAACCTCCCGGTATTGCCAATGGCCAGTCCGCCCCTGGTCTTGGTGAAATTCAGGTTGTAAAGTTCCACCTGATTTTAAATGTTGGGTGGCACGCTTCTGCACTTTTCCTGGTAGGAGGTTTTCTGAGTGAAATGCAGAATAATTCTCATGTTGTGCCAAGACCACCCACACCTGCCGCCTCTGCCAGAAACCATGGGCCTCGTGGGAAAAACGGCTGGGAAAACGGTATCATGCTGTTATGGAAAACACAGACAATCCTTAGGATAAAACCACAAACCCACCTTGGCAAACTACAAATATGTGGTTAGGATTAAGTATTCCTTAATTTGTTGATTGTGCCCAATTACACCCACTGAGTACACTAGCATACTAAGTTTGATTGGACCTGATGGCAGATGATGTGTTTAATGTTTTATCACGGAGGCTCTGCTTTATTTAGAAGTTGTACTTAGGACATAAACCTGTGCACTTTCTGACTTGCCCTTTACTCCATCAGACCATGCAGAGTTTGCAAGGTGCCCTCAGCCGCTGCCAATGGGCTCTCCCAGTTTGCCTGTCTCCAGCTGTGAGCTAAATAAAAACACCAGACGTTGCCACCAGCAGCCATTGGCCACACACCTCTCCTGTCGACTCTACCAGACCTGTGACCACGCTTTGCTCATCTCAGGTAGGACAGTTGTTTTTTTAGATTCACATTTTTCATGCCAAATTATACCAAACAGATGGACATAAGAGACAATCATTGAAGGTTTATCAGGAGATGTATCATGTCTCAATGTCTAAAGTCAATGTATTGCTGACTGAAGAGGAAAGACTAGCAGTTTGACAGCCTGAGACACCTGAACATCTCAGCAAACATGCCCTCAATCTCCACTGGACTCGCCAAGAAATCTTGGTTTACGGCACAAAGCATTAAGCAACCAAAACAGAAAGAGGATAGGGCTTTTGTTTTCCCAATAACTGTTGTAAGCTATCTCCAGGTACCGAACAGTACATTTGTTTGTTTTTTTCAGTTACTATCCCGCAGTGTGGCCTGTCAGTGTTGTTGGGTGCTGCTAGGCTTTGAGGAAAACAAAAAGTGTGTTCGCCACAGCCTCACCAATGATAATACTACTTGGAAATGGAGGAAGAAATGTCTGTTTCCACTTGAATATCTTCTATAATGTCATAACCATAGAGAAATACTGTTTAGCAGGTTATTTAAGAACCCACGTAAGAGTTTAAGGTGCAAGAACTAATGGTAAGAATGAAACACTTGGATTGTAATAGTGACATTTTGGCTAATCAAAATCAACTGTGTGTACAATGGTGCGCTGCAGGCGGCTGGCAGCAGCAGATGACGTTCCAGCGTCATGTCCAACATCTTCAGAGGTTTTACAGAATGCTGCAGAACAACGGCTTCCACAAAGAACACATCAAGACCTTCTTTGCCAGCAGCGGACACTTTACTGGTAAGACAGAGTTGCTCTATGAACAATAGAACAATTATTCTTGCTTCTTTCTCACTGAAATGTAACTCTACTCTGTAAATTCTACTTGAAACAACTTATTCTCTGTCAAACGTGGCAACAATGTGTTCCTATAAACCTAAGTAATAGCCCACTTCTTTTATTACATACGCTCTACGGAAAACTGGATAGGTTAATTACGGCATTTCACGGTCTATTATTTATTTAGTTCTGATCGCCAAACATAACAAGTAAACATGTTTTGGAAACAATGACATCATTTTAAATCCTGTTGACATGCTGCCTGATTATTTTTTAAAACCGAGCACGGCATTAAAGCCACTATGTATTTTATGTAGAGTCTAAATGTCAGAGAAAGATCTTATACTTTGTGTTTCCCCAAATTTTCTTAGGGGAAATGGCTTAAGAAACTCACTCCTAAACAGCAAAGCTCCCCAAAAGATTTCAATGATTTCAACTGACCATCTCTAAAACATGCCTAACTCTTTCCCCCCCTCTCACCCCCCCACAGAGGATTTAGAGGGTGTGTACTCTGCAACGGAAAAGGCAGTGATTCGTAACCACGTGTCGTACGTCTGCAGGAAGCAGCACTGCGCCGACACGCTGGTTCTGTACCTGAACTCTCCAACACGCAACGATGGCACCATGCTGCTGTGGGACGCCAACCTCAACGGCATTGTAAGGGGAAATAAAACACTTACTTAACTTACTTACTTAAAGCACTGATAATTAAGGGGTTTAAGAAAAAAGAGAACATTTAGTTAATGTCATGTCAATTATTAAAAATCAGCGAATGGAAATTCTAGTTAATGCTTGTTTCCATAAACTTACATTATGCAACTTTTAGGCTACTTTGGTTAATAGAGATAATTTTCCCGATGGGTACCATAAAACCATTGCAGAAGAAAAGCACACAAAAAGATGATGTAATCAAGTCCAAAAACAACCGGAAACAATGTGGAAAAAGTGACGGAAAATGTTTTTTCTTTTGTATTAATTTGAGGAACGTTAGTCACTTTGTGATTCGACAAACACATCTAATGTTTACGTATTTACATTTTTGTTAAAGTCACACATACATTATTCTTGAAGTCTATTCCATTGCACTTTTGATTCTATTGACACCAACTTTTCCTCCTTAGCCAAGAAACACATACAGACCAAAAGAGAGGGCCACCCAGAAAACAGCATTTCTGTTGTTGTTTTTCAAAATGAGGAAATTAGCTCAACTGGCAGTTATTACAAAACAATTGTAACACAGTCATAATGGATCCAGCAGGTTGCGATTATGGATGTTAATACATGCTTGCAAAAAGGATTCTCAAGTTTATTTACTTATAAGTGCAGACATAGGTAGGGCCTTTCCCATTCTTTGGTGTATGTCCCTGATATTCCACCTGATAAATCCTATTTTCCAATGTTGACACAATGATAAAGAATCATATTTACCTTCCTCATTTGTACATCCTTTCACGTCTTCTCCTCCCTTTCTATCTCCAGGCTGACCTGAAGGAGCGATACTCCGTCAACGAGCTGCTGGCCGACCTGGCGGGCTGCAGGGCGACTCGTGTTCTGCTGTTTGTGGACCAGAGCTACAGCGGCGTTCTGTCCAAGAGGCTGCGAGGGTCCCAGAAACATCTCAACGTGGTTTTGATCCAGAGCCAGGCACGGCAGACCCACAATCACCAGAGGATGAACCCTGGCTGGGAGGAGAGCAGCTGGTCCTACATCAACCCTGCGAGCTGCCTGCTGGACCAACTGGGAAAGGTAATTTAAAGGTCACCTATTATGCAAAATCCACTTTTTCATGTCTGTTATACATAAACATGTGTCCCCTCTGTGTAAAGAGATTCTGAAAGTTTCAGGAAAAAATATTTGCTCACTTTTTGTCTTGATCCATTTATATAAAAACCTGTCTGAAAATGAGCTGATCAGATTTTGGCCACTTTATGATGTCATAACGATTTTTTGGCTTGCGTAACCATTAGCCAATCACCAACCAAGGTAACACCCCCCCCCCCCCACCTTATCACCTGAATCTCCTCCTAGAGCACCATTGTGTTTTTTTTAACCAAATATCTCTCAGAGGGGCGTGGGGAGGGGCTCCTTATTTTCATCTAAAGTAACAGACACTTTGGAAACAGGGCTGAAACAGAGGGGATTATGGGATGCTGCAATGATCTGTTTGGTGTTTGGAGTCAAACACTTCAGAGACATGTTTTGTATATCTCTGAGACCTATAATATATTGATGAAAAACAGTATAATATGGGACCTTTAACACATGTAAAGGTTTCTTTTAATTAGATTTTTTTTTTTTTATAAACCTCTAATCACTGATTGTTGTCCTCAGAGTCCTGGGATGTCTCGCCTCCTGGAGCCATGGGCTGGTCTACTGAACGTGACGCTGGCCGGCGCCCCCTGCAATGCCACGCCGCCTCTGACGGATGGCGAGATGCGGCGAGAGTACCAGGGCTGCCAGAACTTACCAACTGCACTCTGGCATCAGAAACACAGGAGGACCAACTGAGAGAGAGACAGAGAGACACTGAGACTGACTGCGAATGGGGAGATAGAGAGAGAAATTATTTTGGACACACACAGAACATATAAAAGTGTACAAACATGCATATTTGCCAGTGTGTGTTATCTTAGGACTTCATTTTCGGTGTGCTTGGTGGACACTGGTGTGTGTGCGTGTGTGTTTGAGTGTGTTTTCTGTCCTAACTCGGAAAGCAACCATGGCGATGACAGCCCATCCCAACGGGAGTGTCCTGAACACCATGTGAACAGTTTGAGTGTGTGTTTGTGTGAGTGTGTATGTGTGTGTGTGTGTGTGTGTTTGTGAGTTCAGCAAAAGGACAACCACTCTCGCAGACCATTGCTAGCTTAAGCTTGGGTCAGTGTGTGTGTGCATGTGTGTACATCTCCTGGGCACTTTAAGACTTCAGAGCCAATCATTCTTTTTTTCTTTTTCTTAAAGTGTTATTTCTCCTTCCTTATGTTCTTCCTTTCTTGTTTCACTCTTCTCCTCATATGGTCCTTTGCTACGAGCTCCTTTCCTCCCAACCTTTCCTTTCGGGATGTCCTCCTCTAACCTCATACCCTCCCCTTCTCCATTCCCCTCCTCTCTCCTTCTCTTCCTTATTAAATTCCATCCTGTTTATTGTATTGGCATTCACTTCCTTACTTCATCCATCACTTTTCATCTTTCTTTCTGTCCTTTCTCTGCCTTTTTTGGCTGTCAGTTTCTTACAGTTTTTGTGAATTTAGAATCTGTGCACACGGAATTCCTAATAACAACAACGCACATATTTGATTAGTTTTGTCCTAACCTAAGGACGAGGCAAAGAGATGGAAGAAACTGTTTGGCAGGGATCATGATTAAGATATGAAGCACTGAGACTGCCCTCACTGCTGCACAGACTGGCTATGGCATTTCAATAAGGGCACAAGTGTGTGTTTGCTCCATCACATACTGTAGGCAGGCAACACATGAAACATGCACAATATTGACCCATACCTACACTAACAACATACATGTTGTCCTATACCTTCGGAGGTACTTTGTGATATTTGTCTGTACATTACCTCCTGTCATGTCTCCATCTGTAACCTTTCAATATTCTGTAAACCACGGCTCAGTGTACATACCCTGCCTGTTGTGTTTTGTACTGATGTCTGTCCAGTTGTACTGATCTGTTATACATTATAGATATGTTTGTTAAAGAGATGAAAGCTGATGGGGAGAACAACTTTCTCCCAATTGTGTGGGAAATGTTGGGCCAGAACTGTGTCCGACAAGTTGACATGTGCATATTCACTGTTTGTGTGATGATCTGTACAGAGTATATCTAGTTGCATGCTGCAAAACATGAAATCTAGTCAATAAAGTACATTTAGAACCAGTGAAGTACATGGGATTTATTTATTTGGTTAGTAACACATTCAGGTTATTTACATTGTTAACTTAAGTCTTGTATGAAGTGTAACCAACAACGTAACATGGGTACCAATTTAAACCCAAATAAAGGTATTTTCCTAAACTTGGCCAAGTAGTTTCCTGAGAACTCAGATATTGTTTGCGCGCAATGAGAGGACCCTGACTTGCTGCTGCTGCGTGGAACAGACACTTTGAGTTTATAATTGTAGCGTCCAATGTCTGACTTGAAATGACCAATTCAAATTTGATAGCCTTAAAGGTAGGGTAGGTAATTCACTTATTTTTGTTATATTCCATGGAATGCTCTTAACATCCCGATAGCAATGAATAAATTAAATGCTTTGACAATAAATATATACAAATATTTCATCTGTGGAAGCCGTGGCGCTGTAAAAAGCACGTCCAATTATCTGCCTCGGCCCGCGGCAGATAATTGGATGGCCTACCTGCCTGTCAGCCTTCCATCTCGTGCACAAACTTATCTCGTGCCCTCATTGGTCATGTGCGCGTTCGTGTGTGTTGGAGGAGGGGCTCTGTAAGGAAGTCTGAAGGAAGGGGCAGATTTTTTTCGGTTGTGTACTTTCAAATTACTCGACCTGGTTTCTCCATTCTTACCTACCCTACCTTTAATGAAATTCAACAAACTGTTATATTTGTATATTTTTCCTATAATCTCTTAGACTATATTGACAATGCGTATCATCAGTAAAACCAAAAACTGGTCACTAAGGCAAGCGATAAACTAACTTGTTGTAAAATGTTGAAATGTTGTATTTGAAGCAAGGGCCACTGACTAAGCTGCCATTTTGACGAGTTGGAAACGGGAAATAGTTTGAATCACTGTCTGTCCCAAATGTCTCTAACAGGCCTTGACCGAGGCTGTTGCATCCGGTCTATGAACAACACCACAGATAGGCTTATTTTGTGATAAGAAATTATTCAAATATATTTTAGTTGTCTCCTGGGTTCTGTAGTGCCCGGACTCTGTCTTTTTATTTTTTTCCTCCCAAACCCCATCCCCTCAGGAAGCCTTTTGCCTCCTGTCAGGTCATCATTGTAAATAAGAATTTGTTCTTAATTGATTTTCCTGGCTAAATAAAGGTTCTACTACTACTACTACTTCTACTTACAAACGTAATGACAGTAAAGTTAACATTAAAGTGCACCTATCGAAATAGCATAGGTCTCAGATATATAAAAATATATAAAAAACATGTCTATGAAGTGTTTTGCTCAAAATACCAAACAGATCACCCATTCTAGCCATGCCTCATATCCCTCCATTTCACTTCCTGTTTCAAAAGTGATGATTTGGGGTATAAAGCTTTAAAAAAGAATTATTAAAAAAAAGGAGGGGGCTGAGCTCATGCGGGACCCGGCAGCTACTGTCTAAACTAAATACTGCCGTGATGAAACGCCATATAAATTATAATGGATTATCAAGGATTATTTCTGAAACAGTATGGAGCTCAAAGGCTTTCTCTCTCTCAGGTTATACCACAAGGTGAGTTCCTTTTTATTTCCTGCTTCTTCACAGACATGCTCTGTGCAGTACAGGTTAGCTCTGAGTGTTAGCGATGCTAACCGACCATATTACGTCCAAAACAGTCGGGCATTGTTTCTGATAGAAACGTTTCTGATAGGGCCGTGGGTGTAAAGCCAGCCTACATTTCCGATATTACGTCATATCGGACGCAAATCTGGATCAGCTCCGTTGTACCCCCGTTTTTAGAGATTTGGGTATGGAGGAAAAGAGAGGGTTTTATTTTCTGACGCTGCGTGAGTTCCCTGACACACCGGGGACACATATTTATGTATAAAAGACATCAAAAAGTGCAATTTGCATGATAGGTCCCCTTTAAACCAACATAAAATGACTTGGTTCATGTCTGAAAGAGGCTTCATGTAGGTTCTGGTGTAGTGCAGTTTAAAATGTATTATAATTTTACTGAGAAACGTTGTGACAGTTTTTGTTTCAGGGCCTTTTATTGCTAACTAACAAAAGTTCTAGCTACAACCCCTTCTCCATCAGTCTTCCTCTTTCTTGCCCTCAGGCTGCTGATATAGTTGTACTCTAAACAGTAACCTTTGACACCACATATCAGCCCATCCAGGATGTTTTCACCAAAACAATCTCAGTAACATAATCACTTTAGCTTTAATGGCTTAGGTGGAGTCTTCACAACCAGGACACCTGACCACTGCCGGGTCCTTCTGCTGCAGGGAACCTTTCACTTTGACTTTTAGTTAAATCTTCTGAATTGCTGTTTGTTAGTTGGCTAACTTTACAGTTTGCTGCAGCTTTAGTTTGAGTTGTTTCCTACATTCATATGCAACAGTTTGACATCAGCAGTGTATGGTTAATTTGAAATTTGTAGTCAGGAGCTTGTAGGATTTGATCTGTTTAATGTCGGATCAAAATGGTTTGGACATTTGGGCTTTTATATACAGCTTAAATACATTTCACAATAATTGTATACAACTAAATTGCTTTATAATATCATGCCCTGAGTCATTAGAGTTGCAAACTCAAACAAAACAAATGAAGAATGCATAAAAACTACTGATTAGGTTTGATAAAAGATCCAGGTTTAGCTTAAAATTAGAACTTTTGTATTGTTATTTAAAGGGGACCTATCATGCAAAATGCACTTTTGTATGTCTTTTATACATGAATATGTGTCCCCGGTGTGTCAGGGAACTCACCAAGTGTCAGAAAACACAACCCTCTCTCTTTTCCTCCATACCCAAATCTCTAAAAACGGGACTGCAACGGAGCTGATACAGATTTGAAATTGTTCTGATGTCAGAAACGGGGAGCACGGCCTATATGGGCAACTCTCCACCTATCAGGGGAATGGGGGGGTTGGGCCACGGCCACGGCCATTGCCGCTCGAAAGCGCTGGAGACGCTGTAGTACATATGGCAGGCCTGTAAGTGATGCGGTAGTCTGCCACAAAAGCAGCGAAGAAGACTTCTCACAGAATCAGCCCTTGCAAAAACAGGGCTGGAAAAGAGCAAATAGAGCGAAATGAGGCATGGCTAAAATGCATGATCTGTTTGGTATTTTGAAAAAAATAACTTCACAGACATGTTTTATATAGGTATGGCCCTACAGTACAATATATTATTCAAATATAGCATGATAGGTCCACTTTAAGTTACAATGTAAATTAACAAAAGGGAATGTTACCTTTTGGTTTCACATGATGAGAGACAATATCTTTCCTTGAACCGTAATTGAAAAGGCATTTTATTTGCAAGGGAACACAAGACCAGGTTTGAAAGACGAGATGATCTCACAGTGTCAATGTTATCATTTTGTGACCAACTGCATGGTTTCTCTTTCTGCAGAGTCAACAGTGGGTGTAGATACATGAAATTACAAAACATCACATATGAGAGAAATCAAGTATGTGTATAACTATGAGTGTGGAATAAAAACATAGTTCAGCGCATTGTGTCCTGAGTCTGATTCTTCGTCTGTGTTTCTGTTTGCGTGTCGTGAGTTTTCTGCTGTTTCATCCACATGGCTGCGTACAGACCTCCCTGCATCAGCAGCTCCTCATGTCTGGACAGAGGAAGAAAATAGGATGAGACAAGAAAGAAAACATTTCTGGTATCAACATTCTGATCTTCCAACATAAATGTAGAATGTGGATAAAAACACTAAAAAGTCAGAGTAGCTCATGAGGGCCAATCATCCCAAAACTGAGGCCCTATTATGCTTTTTGGGGTTTCCCTTTCCTGTAGTGTGATAGGTTTTTGCGCATGTTAACGGTCTACAAAGGCTAAAATCCCTGTGTTCCCTCCAGAGGGAGTTTCTCTCCCACACACTCCCCCCCTTGCCTGAAACACTCTATTAGACTCCTTTCTTTACTTCTGTAACATAATGACATCACTAAGTTACACTCGATCTTGTCTCGGCTAGCGCTCCAACACATTGTACTTGATAGGCTAAGGGGCGGGACATCTCTAAGTGGTTGACTAATCACAACAGAGCCAGCCAGCAGGTATGGCATGGTACATGACTAAGCATGCATTAATGGTACATGCCTGCACATTTGGTATTGCCAATACAAATTGTCTTCACAAATGTAATGAATCTGTAAAAATAACTTTTTCTTATAATACCTGTTAATGTTTGCTGTTATTGTGAGGAACAAAAAAGGGGAAAAAGGGAGGAATTTAGTTTTAACAAAAAAGGAATAGAAATGAAAAGCAGGCAGAGGATAATATGGGTCACTCATAATGTCGTGTAACTTCAGAGCTGCTTTAAAACAAAGTTGAGCTGTATAAAATTCTCCTAGACAACTTTACTATGAATTAGTAAAACCACAAGTGTGTTCCTGTCTGGAATGCCAGACGGAAAGAGAGCGAGAGACAGAGAGAGAAACACTGCGAGGGTCAGAAATAGAGAAGTAGGAACAGGTTGATGTGGAGGAAACTAAGAGATAAGTGGAAATGCAGAAAGATAATTAGGAAAAAGTAGGGGAAATTAAGAGAAACATTGGAGGAAAAGAGGGGAAGAAGTGGCCAAGAGGTCAGTCTGAGGACAGAAAATGTGAGAAAAGTTGAAAAGTTGAAAAAGGAGACGCTAAGGCTTTTGTGTTCGTAAAGGGGCTAAAAATACAGATTATATCAATGATTGAGGGATTGCCTCCACATAGCTCTCAAATTGGCGATGTCACAACAATGCCTTTAGTCGTAACGGCGTTATCAGCAGCAGGGCAACACACACACAGTGAGTGTGATATCATTCTCTGTTCGAGACGCCATTACTCCACTATATCTTCACATAGAAAATCGTTTTTTGCTGCCATATAAATCATCTGAATGTAACCTTTGAGTTTTCCAAAAATATATCATCACACTCCCATAACCCAAACCGGCAGAGATTGTACAAAAGATGAACTATCCAAGCAGACTTACTTGGCTGTGTCTGCCCTAGAAGACATTGTTGGTGTGGTTGA